ACACTTATGTTAATGGAAGGGTGAGTTCATACCTATCCATCTGAATGGGGTTTTAATTCAACCTATAATGAGGTTTCACCTAGCTCATAAACAATACCTTTGTGGATATGTCTACATTGTGATGCAGGCTCACACGCATGCTCACAAGGCTATAAAATTGCAGTATCCCGGCTCAGCTGAAACCTGGACTCTGAGACCCTGTTCCCTCGCACAGTCTCAGAGCCCAGGCTCCAGACCAAGCCTGAACATCTACACTGCAATTTTTAGCCTTGCAGACTGAGCTCCATGAGCCCAGATCAGCTGAGCCCTCTCTGAGACTTGGTGCCATGGGATTTTCATCACACTGTGGGCAGCATGTTTATTTCTATGTGAACAAAGAGATCATTAACAGATTTAACAGATTCATTCATCTGATGCTGTAGATTAACAAACACATTTCAAGATTTAACTAACACATCTGTGTGCTTTTGCAAATTGCTACATATATTAATGTTTCCACCATATAAAAAAGTTTCAAGGCCCTTTTCACAGCATTTGTGCTGGGCAACCATGTCTAGTTAGTTTATGCAGTTGCTGTTCTGGTTGCTAGTGGAAAAGACTCCACTCATTCTGAATAGAAATCTGTTGCTAGGAAAACATACTTGCAGGTAGGTTTTGATTTCTGGCACTGAGTGGTCCACTTAGATCTAGTCTCATGCTTTTGTAAGTGTTTGTATCCTGCTTTCTCATGAAATTTAGGGTAATCCCTGCTTCAGCTCTGGTCTTTAGCATAGACCTTCAGTGCTTCTGAGAGCACTCCTAGGTACAGGCATCTGTAATAAAAGATACTTGCTTTGTCTCCCCCAAGTCTCAAGTCACTTTAGAAAGGATGATAAGTATCACTAGCCCTATTTTACAAACAGGAAAACTGAGGCATGAAGGAGCTATGTGATTTTCCCAAGGCACACAGCAAGCAAGTGGCAGAGGCAGAAGGATCCATTTCCTTATGCCAAGGCTTCTGCCCTAGCTTCTGGCGCACTCACTCACCAGGAGCTGAAAACCATCTTTGTTTTGGTTTGGGTTTAAGGCACAGCACTTAGGTGCTATAAAATATACGTGCTGTCAGAACCACACATTTTAGGAACTCTGCCAGCATTTACTCAAATATAATTGTAACTCACTGGCTTGCGTGTGTTGTGTCCAGTCCACAGACAAGGCGAGTCTGTAGCCACTGCAGAGCCTGTCTGTTCAATTCAAGCTGCAGAGACAAGTGCCTGGTTTTTGATGACCCTTGGTTCCAGCCCCAGAGGTGGCAGACATGTAATATTAAGAACAATTAATAGAAAGACACAAAACGCAAGTTATTTCTGATGAAAAAAATATTCATTCTTTACAACCCCAGAAGTTAAAATGGATTATTTTCACAAACTGCTCTGCCCCGACTGTCTGGTGTCACTCCCGCCACACCAGCCTTTTGAGCAGATCAACATGGGAGTAGTAATCATCCCACAAAGGGTGTGGTGTATAAAAGTGGTGAATTCTGTGGTGAATTCCTCTTGCTCCAGGGAATTCAGTCAAAGAGACCCCAAACTGCCCCTTAATCTGGGATGTGTTGTGATCTAGCCTGCGTTGGTTTCTGTCCACGTTTCTAATCTTTCTAGGATGCTTGGTGTCATCTGTGTCAGCAATCCCCTGTTGTCTTATATGTCTATGAACAGCACCTAGCGCAATGGGGCACCCATCTCCATTGCAGTCTCTAGCTGCCTCTTGAGTATATGTTATAACTGTGCTGTGGTAAAGTAATTTAAAAATCATCCCACCAGGTTTCAGTTACATGCTGTTGTTCACCATCATTTAATAATAGCTGTGATTTTTGATTGTCTCCCCTCTGCCTTGCATGTATGCATGCTCTATTCTCTCCCAACCCAATGGCTGATGTTGCTGACAAACCATATGGTGCAGGAATAAAAATGAACAAAGACACAGTCAGACACTGTCACAGGATGCTACTTCAGCTACTCTATGAGCAGCAGTGCCTCATCTGTTTTCGTAGTTTCTTATTCACAAAACACACGGTCTGTTTCTGCTCACCATATATACCTTTAATCCTCGCTTTCCAAACATGTCACGGTGTCAGACAGGGAACACAGCAGTTGGAGCCTTTCACACAGCTTTTTCTCCTCCATCATGTTCACCCTCCGTGCTCCTGCCTCGGTGTGTCTTTCATTCCGGGCCTTGCCCATGGCTAGCTCCACCTGGGAGCAGTCTGAGCCTCTGCCCTCCCCCTCCACTAAGGGCTCTGATCTATCACTCCTGGATCCACCCACTCCCTTCTTGAGTGCTTCTCCCCTCCTCTTCCCTTCCCCTCTCCCCACCCCCCACCTCTGAAGTCCTCCAGTGTGTCAATTCTCTGAGCTTGCTATATCATTAAACAGTGCCTGGAGGGTTACCTGGAGGGTCTACCATCAGTATTTCTTTGCACAGACCCCACAGTTGAGGTCTCCCTCTCTGTCCTCCATTCCTTGTACATAAGGGAAACTTAGTCCAAGTCAGTTCCTATCATCACTGTACAGAGCAACAACTTTACCACACCCACGCTCTGACACAAATTTTCCTTGCTTCCAATGGAACGACTGCTACGGGGTAAGTATGCTTTTCCTTCATGTAGACAGTGGGCTAGCACTCTCTCCCCCTTCTATCATCACTCTAATCTAACCAAGGGAACACACAGCTGCTGAAACCACCACACCCCTTCTGGTTCTCCAGTCTACGTTGATGGGAATTGTTTTTATCCTAGATCTGCCTTTTACACTTGCCCACCCACAGAACTCTCCCAACCCATAGTCTTCACAGTATTGGAGCCACTTCAGCATCCTAGTCACTAAAGATGCACCCTATCACAGACTCCAACCGCAGGAAAGACTCACAGTCAAGGTATATGCTTCCTAAAGAGATCACTGTTAGTCTTAGTACCAAGTGTATAATGTTCCTTTAATAAAAAATGGGGGAGAGGGGAATAATCCCCTCTGTTAAAGACTCTACCAGCTCAAACTCTGTGAATGCAGATCTGGGGAGCCATACCCTTAAAAAGATATAAAAGAAAGAATTGGAGCTGCTATCCAGTCTTGAATCTCATTAAGTTGTATACTTTCTGGAGAGTCATAATAGAATGCTTATGACAGAATCAAGTCCTTAAGCTTTGTGTTTTTGTTACGTGGCAAAAACCATAGTGATTCACTCTACTGATATAATTAGGTTAGAACAAAAAACAAACAAACCTGAAATGCAGAAACAAAGTGACTAGTTTTGTACGAATTTCAAAAGTAAGAAGGTCAACAACTTTTCCCCTTACTAGACTAAACATAGGCCAAAATTCAGCAAATATGCATCAAAATTCAATTACAACAATGGATGTCAATACTAAACATCTATTTGCAGGGTGAGGAACCACATTTCATGATCTGGGTACAGTAAAAGGCTACCAGTTGCATTTACATAGATGAGAGAATCAGTCACATTGTAGCCTAAAAACACTGAAAAGTTCTCTTTCATGTAAAAAAACTAGTTGAAGGCATTACAAAAAGCTTAGCTCCTGATCCTGCAAAACACTTACCAGCAACCACACACCACACAACAGATAGTTATGCATGTGTGTGAGTATTTGCTTCAGGTTGGGTCGCTGTCTGTAAGCAAGGACTGGCCTGTCTCCCAAGATGCGTGAGAGTGATGGGTCGTCCTTCAGGATAGGTTGTAGATCCTTGATGATGCGTTGAAGAGGTTTTAGTTGGGGGGGTGAAGGTGATGGCTAGTGGTGTTCTGTTATTTTCTTTGTTGGGCCTGTCCTGTAGTAGGTAATACCCACCTGGCGAAGTGAAGAAACAGACTGACAGAGCCAGAAGAGTACCTGGAAGTTACCTACTACAGGACAGGCCCAACAAAGAAAATAACAGAACTCCACTAGCCATCACCTTCAACCCCTCTGCCATGTACATTGGCCAAACTGGACAGTCTCTACATAAAAGAATCTATGGACACAAACCAGACATCAAGAATTATAACATTCAAAAACCAGTCGGAGAACACTTCAAACTCTTTGGTCACTCGATTACAGACCTAAAAGTGGCAATTCTTCAACAACAAAAACAGACTCCAATGAGAGACTGCTGAATTGGAATTAATTTGCAAACTGGATACAATTAACTTAGGCTTGAATAAAGCCTGGGAGTGGATGGGTCATTACACAAAGTAAAACTATTTCCCCATGTTTATTCCCCCTCTCCCCCCCACCCCCTCCGGCTGTTCCTCAGACGTTCTTGTCAACTGCTGGAAATGGCCCACCTTGATTATCACTACAAAAGGTTTCCCCCCCACCCCTGCTCTCCTGCTGGTAATAGCTCACCTTACCTGATCACTCTCCTTACAGGGTGTATGGTAACACCCATTGTTTCATGTTCTCTGTGTATATAAATCTCCCCACTGTATTTTCCACTGAATGCATCCGATGAAGTGAGCTGTAGCTCACAAAAGCTTATGCTCAAATAAATTTGTTAGTCTAAGGTGCCACAAGTCCTCCTTTTCTTTTTGCGGATACAGACTAACACGGCTGCTACTCTGAAACCTGTCAATAATGTGTTGCTGTCTTAGAACCCAGTCCTGCAAAGCAGTTAAGAACATGCATAAATGTGTCTACCATGAGACTCCTGCAAAGCACCACTCAACTCAAAGTTATGCATGTGCTTAAACACTTTGTGAGGTTGGAGACTAAGGGTTTTCTACACTACCAAATTAAGTTGAGCTAAGTTAGGTCGACGTACAGTCACCACAGTAATTATTACTGAGGTTCATGTCCACACTATGCCCCCTCTGTCAGTGGTGTACGTCCTCAACAGGAGCACTTCCACCAACTTAACTGCATGGAGCATTGTGGGGCACTGACAGCCAGAACTTCCCCCCTCCCCTCACCCTAGGACTCACAGCTGGATCCCAGCTGCCCCAGGGCTGACAGCCCATGGCAAGGGGATATAAGTAACAGTGTCTACACAGACACTGCGTCGCCTTAACTACATCACCCTAAGCGCTATGCCTCTCGGGGAGGTGGAGTTATTAGGTCAGTGTAGTGGACGACTTACATCAGCGGGAGCAATGTTGTAGTGTAGACACTTACAGAGTTAAGTCAATGTAAGCTGCCTTATGTCAACCAAACTATAGTATAGGCCGAGCTTGAGAAAGCAAGACTGTATTGAGCACTTACCGGAGTTTATCCCATGTGTAACTACAGCCATAGTAGCCCTCAAAGCACAAGATAACAAAAGGCAATTCTCCTCAGTCAAAATATGGAAAATAAACAAAACTATCATATTTTACCATCTCTGGAGGTTGTGACACAGTGCCTTCATTGTGCTACATAACTCTCAAAAGAGTACCTTGACAAGGGTTACCTTCAGAAGGATTAGATCCTGACTCCAGATACATCACTGCATTTTCCACTCAGGTTACCATTCAAATAATCAAGGTCAGATCATTGTCTAGTAACCACTGACAGCACAACTTGTGTGGAGTCACAATGTATAGATGATTTTGCTGCCATGAGAAAAACAAAGAAAAAGATGAAGCAAGAATAAAGATTGAAATAAAAGAGAGCAAGAATAAAAGTTGCAAACTGCTTGATCGTAAAGAATAAAAATGTAAGCTAGTTTAAGCATAACCCTAGACTAAATGAAGGTGGATGATTCATCATCTGCAATAAGAGTCTTGGCAGTCAGATCACAAGGCTTTTTTCTGTTCTCTTCCCTTTCTTGTAATAAAAACAATGTATCCCTGTTCTCTCTATATATTTGGTGAATTGCAGAAGCATACTGTACTTGTGCCATTTGACCTTTTCAGAATTTTATAACTTGCCTGGCTTTCCATTACATGTCTGCAGCGGTTTTTAGCCAGTGTAGAAGAAATAATTTGGAAGACCTATCAAAATAAAGTAGACTTAAAAGGTCAGGATAATAGGGCACACCTCTACAGTTCACAAAGTGTACTTGACATTAAAAAAAGAAACCAAAAATGGCAAAGCTTTAATCCATTTGTCCACTAGGAGGAATTGAGGAGCAGTGCAAAACAAACCTCTTCCCTCCTAATGAGATCTTATCCTAACCCATCTGGGAGGTTGGATAGAACATTTTTCTTATTTCCTAGAGGAAACCATTTCCCAGTATTAAAAAGGATTACACTTTCAGAGTGGTGGCTGTGCACTGGAAAAGCACACAGAGCACAATTTCCTTCAGGCTCTACTGCATCTAAAACCTGTATCAAAACTTCACTCCTGCCCTAGGGTGATTCGTTAAGGGCCTGATAATTCCTATGGACTTAAACAGCCTTTGGATTGGGCACTAAAAGAGGAGTGCTTTATTAGCATTGATGAACCTACCATCAAAACATGGATTTCCCCATGGGGGCGGGGATAAGGCACAGAGATATTAAGTCACTCACAGTCACCCAGAAAGCCTGTGGCAAACTGAATTTAAAATATACATCTTGGAGTTCTGTGCATCATGTACAAGATCATCCTTTTCTGGAAGCACCTTCTGAAAAAGAAAAAACCCTGTAAGAATCCGTCTTGAATGCATGCTGAAAGAGAACTCATGGGAATTTGCCTGCCTTTGCCTTTATTTGAAAGTGAGCCTATCACAGATGTTTAAGGGCATGAACCTGAAAAGTTCCCACTCATAAGTGCGCTCAGCACATAACAGGCTTGTCCCTCTAAAGACAAAATGAATGGAATTAGCTTTAAGAAAACACACACACATACTTTTCAACTACAGATGAGCAAATGACAGATGTATTTGCTTTAAGTATTTTTAGAGATTTTTGCTAAATAATCTAACACCTGAGGTTCCTTTATGGGCTTTTTTTTTTTTTTGGGTCAGTGTTATGCAATAATTTATGCAATGAGGGAGCAAGAAGGCTTTTGAAAATCCCACTCGGTGCCTGCATGCCTTTAAAGTCAGATCCAAGCTGACTACCCAAGGATCCAAGGACACTCCACCAAAACTCCTCCACACACTAGATTTGACCCACTGAACCATGACCGAAGTTTCTCATCTAGAAGTGGAGCTGCGGTGCCACATTGAGTAGTTGGGGATGCTTGAGCACCTAGCTCATCCCACTGCTCTCAATTAGTCCCTGTTTTCTGCCTCTGATTTTTCTATTTAATCAAATGTTCCTCTTGATTTCATATTTGCCCCATTGCAGGATCTTAAGATCCTATGCAGCAAGAGCTATTCTCCCTTCCCCAGGAGTGACGGGTTCTGCATGTGGGAAGACAAGGGATGGGGTGCAGCAGTTGGCAGCTTAGTAATCCCCCATTCCTCCCACCTAGGGATCAAAGAGATCTCTTCTCAGAGGCATAACTTTCATTATGACCTTATGTGGGAGGCTTCAGCGAATGCTGTCATTCCTCAGACAAAACAAGAACTGGTCCATAGCGAGCAGGTTTCTTACTGCTTGAACCACCGCAGTCTATTGCTCTACATATTTTGTTTTCACCTCAATGTTTATGTAGCTCTGGGAGGTCATTATTCTGTGATCATTTTTTAACCAACAAAATAGAAGGCCCTAGCTACAGTGAAGCCACTCTGGTTCCAGTGTGCAAAGGGAAAAGACACCAGGGCTTTGTGTTGGGAACCTATAACCCCTCTGCATAATGGAATTGGGCTCCACAGTGACTTGCTGCATCCCACTGTGTAGGGTGGTTTAGGTTTTGTGGGTGAAGAGGACCAATGGGCCAGAGAAGGTAAATCTGCGACCATTCCCTCTATACCATTCATTGGGGTACTCAGGGTGTATGGCAAACTAATGACTACAGTATGGCAACAGTAGCAACTCTTAGTGGAGACACTCTATGCCCTGGTGTACACTATTGCTCTGCTGCCTGGGAGAGAGGATTCGTTACCCACCACCCACACAGACTCCTCAGATACTAGGACTTACCATTTGCCTCATTAACTCCTAAATAAATCAGTTCCTGGCTTGAAAAGATCTGATAAAGCCAATTTAATACATTTTGTGAATTTCATGCAAGAAAAATCCACTCATCACTCTAACTTCTTTGGAACTGAATTCTGGATTACCATTTAATGAGACCAACATAAATTACTCTGCATAAAAGAAAGATGTATTGATTACAGAAAAATAAATTTGCTTTTGATTAGAATAAATAAATCTCCCATTTTCTCCCCAGATATTCAGCAGGATCAAATCATCTTGTCCTGTAAAGTACTATACAGAAAGAACAGGGCTGTATAGAAATGAGAGCTGGAGAGAGAGAGATTGTGAAATTGGAGCAGCAGAACAAAATTAATAATTCTTAGAACCTTGAGAAGTAAGTGGAGTTGGGGGCTAAAATAACCGGGAGCAGTGGTCTCTCTCCTTCACTGAAAGCTGGGGGTGGGCGGGGGGGTGGAGAAGGGGAATGGATCGTGCTCTCCACCTGCTCTCCCTGTCTTAGAGAAACCCTGTTCCCCTTCCTTCTGCTTCTTCACTGGCTTGTGAAGTAATATTTCACCAGACAGGGAAATCTGAAGTAGAAGCAGTAGGAGGAGCTGGTTCTTAACTGGGCATCACTGCTTTGCTGCCAGTAGGTGGAGTAGCAGCAGCACCTGGTGGGAGAAAAAGAGACCTCCCATCTGGAAGTCCTCTATCCTCATCCTCTCTTCTATATGAAGGAGATGTCCAGAGCACTAGCTTCCCCTGCTGGGGGGCAAGGGGAAAACAACACCATCCAGCCTCACAGAAAATATATTTGGCCCAAAGGATGCAATACAAACCTATTGGTTAAGCCTCACCAGCAGCTCACCAGCTTAGTAAAATAGTTGGATTAATATACTGGACTACAGCATGTAGTAATGATTTCCAGTGTAACTGATCTCACTCAGGCAAACTCAAACGACTGAGAAAGCAGTCCCTTGATGCCTCCTAACAAAGGTGAGGAGGCAATCAAGGAGCAGTTATTTCTCACTGATAACAATATAAGAGTTACTAACAGACTGAAGTTTAAATCACATTTACACAATCTGAATGGAATGTTAGCAATGGTGGAATATTCCTTCCTCCTCTCTGCTCCCACCTTTATTTCAGAAACTATTTCAGAACAAATAAATAAATCATGCATACTGAATGCCAGTTCTTACACAGCTAATTAATGAATGTGTTCTGCTCATCCTCATACACCCTGGTCGTATGTATAAAGACAAGATCTGGATCTGTTAATAATCTGCCTGAAGTTTCAGTCTTTAAATGTAGTTTAAGTCTCTATCTGCAAAGATAGCTTCTGCTAATATGGTATTTTCATTGAGACTAGAAGGATTAACACTAGACCATCTGTTCAGTAAATTGGGCACCATGTGATTGATAAATATCATTGACCTAAATTGAACTCTCCCATTTAATGGGGCATGCAAAGCAGAACTGCGTCACTCCATGTCTAATTCCTTCTTTCTTCAAGAAATCAAACCCATTACTTGTACAATGCAGTTGTATTCAAGGTTTATGAAGAAGGCCTGCATCTCCTGAAAGGTACTCTGTATGCCCTTCTTCCTTTTGAATCCTGCCTCAACATACCAAGACATACATAATAGTAAATCTAATCTCTAAACTGCAAGGAGCCATGAGTTAATGCTCTGTGGATAAGGCACTGGATCTTAGAGAGCAGATTAGCATGTCTGTCTGCACAACTGTCAAAACTGCAGTAAAGACCCAGCAAACTGCAAGAGGTCCAGACATTTGCTCATGTATGTAAGGGAAAAGTTAACTCTTCTGATGCTGTTGCCATTCAGCCGAATGTTTGGGTTTTGGTTCTGTTTCCTAGTTAAAGGATAGTGCTTTTCCAAGAGCGCTCATTGTGGAATCAGATCCAGGGACAGCTCTTTATACAATCAATGTGGAGGCAATATTTGCTCCCCTTTTGGGCACACAGCAATAATGCAGACAGTTACAAGGCAAAGGAAACCCTAAAGAATGAAAATGAGGAAGACTCCAAGGAAGCTTGGCAGCTTTTTAAGGTAAGAACAAGCCCAGAGTTATCCAAATGTCTTGGTGGAGTAGGAAAAGGGGGTGTCTGAAAAGAGTAAGAAAGCACTGGTATATTCACACCAATAATTGGACTTGTCACTTAGAATTCTCTAAAGTTCTATTTATTTAGCCTTTCCTTTTTACTAAATCTAGTCAGCTGCAATCTCATCTCCAGCATATGTTGTAATTGCCATGAAAATGAAACCGATCAGGTTGCCCCCAAATTTTCCTGGGTTGCTTTCAAACAAATTAAACAGAACGGTTTAATTCAGAAAAAGGGATTATGCTTGCATGAGCTAATTTATAGTAATCAATTGAGGGGAATAAGACAGTTGCATGGTGGTCTAGGAGAATATATAGTAAGATGAAGAGATCCAGATTTTTACTGACATTACCCCCAGATGTGTTCTGTTCATATGTGTCAGGAATATACCCTGGAGAGAATGTATGAAGATGGGTATGTGGGATGTGTTCAGATATAGGGCAATACAGAAATCACTCAAGGGTGCAACATTAACCACCCTTTTGTAAAACTGTGGAGCTAAAGTATTTTTCTTTCGTTAAAAACCAATTCCCAGAGGTGATAACTGTCTGCCATAGGTTTGAAAGCTGACTGAAGGTGTGAAACAACATTATCTATGTGGAGCGTGGGTGTGAGTGCAGTTGCAAAGGAAAGAGGTCAAATCGTTCTAGAGCTCTGGACTTTTCAGAATTGGTGCAGCTCCACTGTGTTGTGGGGCAGACAACTTGATTCCTGGAACACATGCAGGGGATCCATACCTTCTCTGCACTGCAAAGCCCAGCTCCATTAGACTCACTAAGCACCAGTGAGGCAGGAGGGAGAGAGTTTGGAGACAAACTGTAACAGGGTACAGCCAATAGAGCAAGGATGAACCAGCTGTTTCCGGAACCAATGCATGTCATAGAATCATAGAAGTTAGAGATGGAAATGGCTATTAGATATCCATTCCATCTCCCTGGGGCCAGGGCAGGGTTGTTCCCTAGAGTACATTTTCCTGTGCGTTATCCAGACCATGACCCAAGACCTACACGGCCCCAGTTGCTGCTGTATTTTCTTGTAAAATTGAGGCCCTCACTATTACTGGTTATGTAAGAAGATGACTTGTGCTATCCGCAATTTCATTTACCTACAGTACAAACATATAGTAACTAAACATCCCAAATGGCAGCACTTCTACCACTTTTCTGAGGAGGCTACTCCACAGCCTATTACATCAATGGGAGAAAGCTTTTCCTGGTACTCAGAATAAAACTTTCCTTTCATAATTTCATGTTGTTATTCCCAGTTATATGCCCACAAACCACAATCTATTGATTATTACTGTCATGCCCAGGAACCCCATCATGGACCAAGACTCCCTTGTTTATTCTGGTACCATGTCACATAAGGAAAATAAAGCATGCTTGGGAGCTACTGAAGCTTGGAGGCCACAGTAGCAATCAGAGCCATTCCAAGGCCTTTTATGCCCTGGAGAGAGGAGAATGCCTTCTCTGT